TTGGCCTTCAAAGGACTGAAACACCACCGAGGGGGATAAATATCTCCAGCTCAACACCAGTCAGTCAGAACTGATGAAGCCTCTTGGATGAGAGGTGAAACGTCTTCGACCTAGAAATCTAGTCCAGTTGATTTTTTCTAAGTTTTTTCAGAGATACAACAATTTTCGGTTCCTCTATTTGTTTCATCACAATAATTAATGGACAAAACAATGAAAACAAGCTACTAGCTTTGGCATGAACAGAAATGTGTCTTACACATGAGGATGCGCCCCTTCCGGTCTGTACAGCACATGATGTTGGGACCTCAAACCAGATCAGGACCCCCCCCCCACCACACACACCAACACACCCAGGAAAACAGTGGAAGAAACATCAGGAAGAGCAACACGGGAGAGACCCTTCTTCAGGACAGACAGGAAATAGATGTGGGTAAGACATTTAGCCCTCAGTAATTTCACTGGTTGGCAGCTCCATGGTTTTTGAGCTCAGGGGTGGCTTCACGGCTTCACAAGGAAATGTTTCACCAGCAGCAAATAACAGCAGTGGAAGAAGTCCTCAGCTCTTTTACTTAAACAAAAGCATTAATACCACAGTGTACAAATACTCTATTAAAAGTAAAACATCTTCATTCAAAATGTGACTCGTGTAAAGTACAAGAGTATTACTATCCAAATATACCTCTAGTACCATCAGTACTAGTACTGGTCCAGCAGAACGGCCCGTGTCCCAGTAACGTCTCTGATACTGGATCATAGTGACTAATTACTGTGTCCATCACTTTAATGCTGCAGCTGGTAAAGGTGGAGCTGATGGTAACTACCTTATATACTTATACTGGGAAGTACTTTCCATCCTGCTGGGTAGCTGGTGGATTTCCTACTGGGATCAATAGAGTCTGATGGTTCTACTGGGTTTGGTTTGATTCATCTGGTTCTGGACCTGAAGTTATCAGGTACATGTAGTGTAGTAAAAAGTACACGGTCTGTCTCTGACATGGAGTCACAGGATGAAGTAGCAGGACATGGAAGTACTCAGGTACAGTACAAGCAGTGGTGGAAAGTAATTAAGTACATTTACTTAAGGGCAGTATTTAAGTACAATTTTGATGTATCTGTACTTAAGTATTTTCATTTTGTGTTACTTCATACTTTGACTTCACTACATTTTAGAGGCAAATATTGTACTTTTTACTCCACTGCAATTATTTTAAACTTTTAGTTATTAATTACTTTTTAGAACCAGTTTAATACAAAATCATAGTGTAATCACTGAACTTTTACTGATCACTGGTGGAGGATTCACAAGCTACCCAGCAGTACTTCAAATTATAAGTATAAAAGGTAGTTAAACGTAGCTCCACCTTTACCAGCTGCAACATTGTGCAGAAACAAAGAGATGAGAGGCAAGCAGTGCGCTGATGCTGCAGGTGACTCACCTGTCCTGCAGGTGGAGCTGCTGGATCTCAGGTGGTAGGAGAACCTCATGGTGCTGAACTGATTGGAGAAAGAGGAAGGAGGAGGAGGGGTGAGGCTGAACCCGAGCAGGGCACCACGAGGTCGGTTCAGCTGCATGCCAACACTTGCACCGGTCTGTCAGGGCACACCTGAGCACAGGTTTGAGGCCACTGCGGTGCAGCTGAAGGAGCAGAGCGAGTTGGAGAGGTGAGTCAGTGTCTGTTTTCTGTCTGTGTTTCAGTTCCTATTTGTGTTTCCATGTGAGAGTCAAGTCTGTTTCAGCTTCACGGTGACAGGCTGGACTCGGGTGGCTCTGTCTCCGGTTGGAGCCATGTGGAGGTCAGGACAGCTCCTCCCCTCCATCCTCCCTCTCTCTCCCCCATCTTTTCCTCTTGTCTGTCACTCTTGAAGAAATCCAGACTGCACAGATCTCACCTTCTCCATCTCTATGTCCACGTCTGGTCTGAAAGAATCCTCCAGAACAAGCGGTTCAACAACAGAAACCAAAGAAGCCTGCTGCCGCTCAGGGATCAGCCCTGAGTCAGTGTGGACACAAAGAAAAGGGACTCCTCACAAATGAACCCGGGTGCAGAGTGGACCTCCTCTCCTCAGGACTGCCTGTACTGTGCAGACTCTGATCCTCCTGCTTCACCTCAGCAGCCTTCCTCTTTCATTCCAGAAAACAGACCTGGCTCAGTTGGTCGTCTCCCTCTGCAGCTTCGGGCCTTTGTGTGAAAATGTGATCCGAGCCACAGACTGACACCATAACTCCTCCTCCTGGGTCCAGACATCTGATCCCAGACCAGCTCCCCTCCTCCTCTCTGGTCTGTTTCTCATTTTTTCTCCTTTTTTGTTTTGAGACTGAAATTTGAGGCAAAGAGAAAACTGCCAAAAAATTCCAGCAGGGCCTTTTTTTTCTTTTTTTTTTTCCACAGACAGACCGGGTCTGAGCTGCCCTGGTTCTGCTGCATGTCTGAGGTTTTGTTGCTTTTATACTGAAACCAGCACAAACTGAACTGAAGTTCTGAGTGAATCTCAGCACAGTGACACGAGCCAGCAGGGGACTCCAGCATCCGCAGGCAGCTTCGCTATCTGACTCCATTACAGTGACAAGGCAGAAATCTGAGGACGTCTCTGGATTAACACAGATTAAACTTTTGAGTCAGTTAGTTTTAGACCGTCATCCAAACTCACATCAGCTGAGTCCTGGTGCTTTTTGTAAATTTGTGACTAATGATTTGCTTCTCATCAAACAGGGTTGATAGAATTTATTTTCCACTTTTTGTCTCTTCACTGGCAGCTGCTCATTAACAGGAGCTGTAGCACAACCCGACGTTCCTGCAGAGAGGAACCCACTACAGGACCAGGACTGATCATCGCCTGGGTGCACCGCCCAGTGAGCACACAGAGTGACGCAAATCAAACAATCTTACTCAGTGGCAGACCGGTGTTTCTACCTGTACCTGGCTGTTCTGCTGTATCTCTGCAACACACCAGGCTCTGCTGTGTTTTAATGCAAGGCCTAAAACTATGAAATTCACTGAGGTGTTGTAGATCAGTTTTAAAGCACCAGGTGTCAATTTTGAACCTTTGGTCAACACAAAGAGAAAGAAGCTTCAGATGTTTCATCATACCATTGCTGTGCAAGTTGCATCAGAAACATATTTAACTTAGTTTCAAATCCAAGTCTTTTATTGATTAAAATTGACTAAAAACAAAGATTCCTTTGGTGACAGATGAATGAATCACTGTTTCACTGGTTGCCGGCTGCGCAGGCTGTACCGAGGCTGGGTGGCAGGACGACAGTGATGAAGACACATACAGGAGAGAAGAGAAAAGGGCAGATGTCAAAAGGTCATGGAAGTAAAATCAGTTTGGGGTTTGATTTGTTCAAAGTTACAATCCTTAAGCACCAAGTCCCTTGGTGACAGCTGCAGTTACCATGGTAACGGGTAAGTAAGGTGAACTGGGGCCAAACATTTATTGATCTACTGTGAGCAGGAAACTCCGGGCTGCTACTCTGGCAGAAAAACAGAACCTTGGTGCATCAACTCTCAGCCTCTGCGCTTCACCCAGTGCATCATTTCCTGTCAAGTACCCTGTGCATGAGCACAGGAGCTGCATTTTTCATCCTTAAACTTAATGTTGCATTGGTGTGACTTAAGTGTATTGACACTTCTGTGTCTTCAGAGGCAGCCGCTGGTTCAGACGTTTAGCTGCCCAGAGCTCCTCCATGGCTGTTTGACATGACTACTGGCTGGAAAAACCCTTCTTCTAACCTTGGCTAGGGGGCAGGCGGGGCTGATTTACAGACCGTACTTTGACAACACAGGGTGGAGAAGCTGGAATAACAACAGGAGGCTGTAGGCAGCAGAGGGTCATGGAGGGGGGGTGTAGCTGGGAGACACCAGGTCCCACTGTCACTGGGGTCATCAGACAGTGGGGGAACCTGGGTTAATGCAGCTTTAACTACACAGGCAGGACAAAACAGTGAAGAAGTGGCCACCACAAACAGACAGGAAGACGATCTAAAGGTTTCTGTAAAACATCTATGACAGATCATAGCCACCTGTTTGTCCTCCACTACGATGCTGTAGACCAGAGGGGAGGACGAGGAGAGGCGGGGGGAAAAGGAGCGATGAGGGCGCCTGCCTGGACTCACCAAGGCATTGTGGGTAGCGGGACTCTTCACCGAGGCATTGTGGGTCATGTGTGGCAGGAGGGTGTTGTCTGCTGCTGAGCTGTTCATGCTCTCAGTACTCCAACCTGTACCACAAACACACACAGGTACTGCAGTACTAATAATAAACTACATGACCAAAAGTACATGGACACCCCAAAGAGACAGGTACTGACCAATGTGGGAGAAGCGAGACTGGTCTGAGCCGTCTGTGGTTGGAGAGAACAACATGCCGGACTGCTGCACCTTCTCCTTCTCTTCTTCTCTTGTCTCCTTCCTACTCCTCAGCACCTCCTCTCTTCTTCTTCTCCTCTGAAAAACCATCTTCACTCCAGAACAATGCTCAAGTCGTGCCTGATGTCATCTGTGTTCGTCACTCACCTTCACATCCAGGTGATTCTTCTCCTCCTCTTCCTGCTGTCGTGCTGCTAAACCCTCTACACACAGACAGACAGGCAGGTCACAGAGGTCACAGGCAGGCAGGTCACAGAAACAGGTGTGACAGCTCACCTGCATGCTGCAGTGCCTCCTGCAGGCTGTGCTGCATCTCTCTGAGCTGCTGCAGCACCTGAAGACTCTGCTGCACTGGGTCTCTGTAGCGAACACACACACAAAGCAGCACACACACACCGACACACACCATGAAGCGCCGCAGCATGCTCACATACACACTGACCAGCTCCTGGGGACAGAACATACATGGTGACAGCGACACACAACACAGGAAACACGGAATGAGGCCACCTGAGGCACGAGGCTGCGTGTTGCCATTATGTGAATGTTTTAACACGGTGACATGTGCTAGTCAACATGTCAGGCCTTATGTCAGTGACAGGTGAAGCAGTGATCAAACTGACCATGTGCTGATGCTCAGGATGATCAGAGCTCATCACAAACTGGTAGATCTTCCTTTCCAAGTAGAAGTTCAAACACACCAAACCCAGCAGGACCAATCTAAACACAAACACATGTCAACCTGGCTTAATACTACACAACCAACCCTGGGTGGAGGAGAGGAGGAGGGGTTACCTGGCTCTGGAGGAGCGCTGGGTGGAAGTGAGGAGGAAGGAGGTGCAGAGAGCCGCAGCATTGTAACAGCAGGAGCTCACACTGTGAGCCTCCATCAGAAGGAAGCTCTGCAGGAATGAAACTCTGTTAAAGAGTTCAGACAGCGCCACCTGCTGCTCCCTGGAGACACTGCTGAGCTCCAAGAACACTGCCTGCAGACCTGAGACAGAGTCAGGTGGAGATAGACAGGACAACTGAAAGATTAAAGCTGTGCTGAACAGAACAGATCTAGAGGAGAGGGTATTTTTACCCTCTGTCAGACTCATTTCACATATGTATGTAGACCCTCTGTGTAGTGTCTCTCAGGCAGGTTGCACATGCGTATTTTACCCTGTGTTGAGTCTTTCAGGGTGACTCTCAGCTCCTCTCCATTGCTCAGGATCTCCTGCTGTGCCTGCAAGGCAGCCCTTTGGGTCTCAATCAGGTCTTCAGCCATCTGCCTGGTGGATTGAAGCTGCTCAGCTACACCTGCTGAGCTCTCTGTTAACCTGTGACACACACACACACAGTGTTTACATGCACAAGTTGTCACCCTGGATCAGCTTACCTGCACACGTCACTTGCAATCAGCTTACCTGTACATGGTGCTTTCGGCACGGCTCTGCCGGGCTTCAGACTGCAGGAAGTGACAGATGGAGTGAGTGTGGGTGAAGAACTCTGTGTACGTGTTAAAAGCCACAGCGTCCATGGCTCCTGTACACCTGCTGACCTCTGACCCCTCAGGGCATGATGGGAAATCCCTGCCGGAGCTGAGGAATTGAGGAGCTCATTAATTACAGATTACACCTACAGAAGTCAGTAAAAACACACAATTATTCTCAGTTCCATGTACTTAAAGTCCAAGTCCTGGTTGTACTGTTGCAACACCTGACTTCTTCTGTTCAAATGAAAATTCGAAGTTGATCATTCATTCATTCACTTTCTACCGCTTAGTCCCTGAACGGGGTCACGGGGGGTGGGGGGTGGAGCCAATCCCGGCTGGCAATCGGGCAAAGTACTCCCTGGACAGGTCGCCAATCCATTGCAGGGCTAACACA